AGTTTGTTACCGGATGTTTATATTTTATGTACTTCGCGTGACGTTAGAACCTGGGATAGCTTAATTCCTCTCTATATCAATGGACCGACACGCCGTGCTTGTACTAAAGACATGTAACCTAGTCTATCAGTTGTATCTAGCTAGTGCCAGCTACTTGTACTGATCAAGTGTCTACTACATTTCAATTAGATGTTATATGAGAAGGAAATACAAAGGAACGATAGTCAAAAGCTTATTTAACGTCCCTTTTTTAGATCCATAATTACAGCTTTCTGTGTTTGCGTTCATTTCGGACGATGGTTATCAAAACTATTTTTCAGCCGAATTGTAATGTTGAAAAGTTTCGCGCTTAGAATTCGCGCTAATTTGAAGATGATGAGGTTAAATCTATTGAATTTTGTCCAATGTTTTAACCTTTATTGACAGATAAATACCGTTCCCCAACTGATGTTATACCGTTGCTCTGATTGGGTACCTGGTTGGACCTGGAAGTAGACAGGACATAGGCCCCCATGCAAACCGTAAAACATAGAAAAACCACGACAAAATGAGTACTTAGTAGGTAAACTTTGACGGGACATATCTCGTCTTTAAATAATTTTGGAATTCTACAAACCTACACACGGTTGTCTGACTACTTAACTCCAAGGGGACACATAAACCAGCATCATTTGACGCATTGTTACCGTACTACGGCTTATTGTATGCCTGAGTGTTCTTAGTATCCAATCCGGCTTTGGTTAAAGCTATCTGATGCATTATAATGCCCTTACTGTACTTGGTGAACACCCCAATGCTTGGTTGATAACTCCGGTACTTGAAGGCACGACTATCTCTTTTTCTTTTCTGGGCTGGTATTATGTACTTAATAGTTGGATATTGCCAGACTGGCAGAAGACCGCCAGCAGTGGAAGACCTTGGAATTGGCCAAACAAACAGCCTCGACGGCTGATTAAGCTATGGGAGAGAGTGAGTGAGTGAGTGAGTGAGTGAGTGAGTGAGTGAGTGAGTGAGTGAGTGAGTGAGTGAGTGTGTGAGTGAGTGAGTGAGTGAGTGAGTGAGTTGGATATAGATATTAGACTACCTTGCAACGTTAGATGTTCACTCTGAGGTGAATGAAAAGTCTTCTCCTTTACGTGATTATCATCCACTGCGTCCTCTTGTCCGTCCGACAGGACTGCTGATGCTGTAAGGAGAGAGTAGAACTATGACATCGTACATGTATGGGTGTCGACGGAACCATAATAATGTATACAGTATACATTATACTTCGATGTGTATATATAATACATATTAACATTTAAGGGGTTCAATTTAATTTGCAGGGTTTTGTATCTCTGAACTGTTCTTAAAATTTGCTGGGAGTGTTTTGTGGGTGCCTGGAATGTTTTATTTTTTCACCTACCGGCATTTGTCCTAACTTATAATGCTGCCACCGCGCAGCTAAGAAGAGTAGTCAAACCTGTCCAGGTGACCACTTCTTCAAGCTGGCCACCTGTCCATTGAGACCGCTTTTTCTCGGTCCCAAAAAAATTCCCCATCGACGCATTAAGCAACCTGTCCAAGTTGACCAATTTTTTCCAATGTTTTAACCTTTATTGACAGATAAATACCGTTCCCCAAATGATGTTATACCGTTGCTCTGTTTGGGTACCTGGTTGGACCTGGAAGTAGACAGGACATAGGCCCCCATGCAAACCGTAAAACGTAGAAAAACCACGACAAAATGAGTACGTAGAAGGTAAACTTTGACGGGACATATCTCGTCTTCAAATAATTTCGGAATTCTACAGACCTACACACGGTTGTCTGACTACTTAACTCCAAGGGGATAAACCAGCCTCATTTGACGCATTGTTACCGTACTACGGCTTATTGTATGCCTGAGTGTTCTAAGTACTTAATCCGACGCGTCACAGTTGTTTTCTTTATAACCTCCGGTATAACCTCCCTTCGGCAAAACACACCAGCTTCTCAGGCACACGGTGCGGCGGCAGCTGGCTACATTGCATGTACACCGAACGACTTGTTACACCTAACCTTGTAACATCTAACCCTATACATTGTTTAAAGCTATCTAATGATAATGCCCCAACTGTACTTGGTGACAGCGAGTTCCACTCTGCGATAGTTCTAGAAAAGAATGAATTTTGAACACCTCAATCCTTTGGTTGATAACCCTGGTACATGAAGGCATGGCTATTTCTTTTTCTTTTCTGGGCGGTTATTAGGTATTTAGTAGTTGGATATAGATATCAGGCTACCTTTCTTCCTTTGATGTTGCCCGGGCACTTGCTGCCGAGGGCCTTTTCTAGTTGGAATTAATACAATAATTGACCGCTTACTTTCCAAAAAGCAATTAAGTCGCGCTCTGGAGTTTACCTTTATCAGATATGACATCGCAAAGATCGATAGCACACAAAAGACGACTTGTTTGGGGATGTACCGCTCAACCACACTAACGGATATACACACAAAAGAGTATGCTGCAATACAAAAGATCTCTGAGCTGCGATGAAAATTGATATGTCCTGATAGCACATAGAGGTTTGTACAATAAT